CAGTGTGGAATCTTAGATTGGATCCTGAAGTGGGAAAAGGACAATTGTGGAAAAATTGGAGAAATCCAAATAAAACCTGGAGTTTTGTTCTTAGTAACATTGGGATATTGGCTTCTTAGTTTAGATCCGTGCTTAGTGGTTATGTAATGTTAGCATCCGGAGAAACTGGGTGAAAGGTGGACAGGAACTCTTGGTACTATCTTTGCAACCTTTCAAGAAATCTAAAATTAACTCTCAATGTAAAGGGTTCTTTTTTCCCAATGCCACTAAAAAGAAAGAAATAAATAAAATCCAGTAAAACCTTTAATGCCCTACCCAGCATGGTCTCAAGAATCAGTTGGTCATGAAGTGGGCCTGTATGTAAAGATATTAAGTCCTGGGAGCAATTATAAGACTTGTGAGCTATTGCCTGGAGTTGACTCGGACGCACGGTGACCCCATGTGTGTCCCACTGGAGCTGGGCTCCATAGGATTTGGAGTTTTTAAATTTTCATTTTATATTGGTTTGCTTGCAAAGTTTATATACATTGTCTTTCACATTATTCTTCATTCACATTATGTTTCATACAATCATTCCCATGCTTTATGTTTTATAAAATTAATCACCATTAGACCTTACTCATCAAGGTCTTACCCTGTCTTATTACCCCGCTGGCTGATTCCCCCACCACCCACCAAATTGAGCAACCCTGTGATTTCGCCCCTACTCAGCCTCACCCCTCTCCTCACACCTTTTCCTCCCTTGAGTCCTCATTCATGTTTTACTAGTTATCCTTCTGTTTTCACAACAGTGGTCCCATGGCTCTGGGTGGACTTGAACCACCAACCTTTTGTGTAGCAGCTGAGCATGCAACCTGTTTACACCACCTAGGGACTTCCCAGCTTGGAAGAAGGAGTGGCATCCACTTCCATAGTAGTTTGCCTCTGGAAACCCTATGAACCTGGAAAGAGGATGAGAGACACCCAAGCATTGAGGACTCTGCTTCATAGGGGCACTTAACAACAATAACATCAACATAGAGAGAGAGATCAGCTGGCCCAGTGGACAGAAGGCAATGCTACCAAACTGAAGGTGGGTGACTTTTAATCTGCAGCCCTCAGTCCTGGCTTTCATTGTTTTTGTTCAGACAGTTCTCTAGGTCGTATAGCCCTGGTATCCAAGTTGCCGAAACTTGAGGTTGCTGTGAAGCTGAACACTGTGACACTGATGTGTCAAATGCGTTAATGGCTGGTTACCCAATGCAGACAGAGAGTGGGGTGGAGCTCCCTGATTAAAAAAAAGCTTGGAAGTAGGAGTGGCATCCACTTCCATAATAGCTTGCCTCTGGAAACCCTATGAACCTGGAGAGAGGATGAAAGACACCCAAATGTTGAGGACTCTCCTTCACAAGGTCGCTAAGAGTCGCCTGCGATTCGATGGCACTTAACAACAACAACAACAACAACAACGACTCCCAGGACGTAAATATGTCTGATTGAAAATTGATAACCCAAAACAAGGGTCACAAACTCAAATATTTGAAAGGACCAAACTAGGAAACACATGTGAGCAGTGCAGGCTCCTTGGGTATCTGGAGATCCCCTAAATGGACAGCTGCCACCCAGCTGCTGCCACCCAGCTGCAGGCAGCGAGGCCAACAGGCGGTTAGACCTGATGTTACCAGATCTCTCCATTTCTCCCAAAGAAGGTGGGAATGGGAACGTTCTCCTGATTTCTTAGAGCTGGTTCCCAGTGACAAAAATAACGAGGGATAAGCAAAACTTGTCTGCCAGTCAAACACAACCAATACTCAATAGTTTGTAACCTCCGAATTAGAGGATGTTTAAAAACACCCCTGGAAATAGACTCTTGCAGTCCTCTTTCATTGAAAGTCTTTAATGCTGTACAGCTAAAGGGTTGTAATGGGTGGGGTGGCGATGCGGGAAGGCTGCCGCTTAGAGCAGGAGAGTGCATCACAGGGCCAGGCTGTATCTCTCACTCCTCATCTCTCTGCGGATGTCACAGCGCAGGCTCCAATGTTCCACCCTTCATGATGACGTTCACACTTTAGGTCCCACTAGAGAACAAAAAGGTGAGAGCTTTGGCTTTTGTTTTTCTTTGAGTCTCATTAACAGCACTGGGGTCCCCAGTAAGCTCTTCTTTTTGGGTGGAATCTGGCCTTCCTGAGGGAACTTACCCTTGCCAGTTGGTGTTGTCAGCTTGGCTCCGACCCCATGGTGCCCCACAAGCATCAGAACAGAGCTGTGCCTCTTAAGGTTCTCAGTGGTCAGTTTTTCAGAAGTACATCACCAGGCCTTTCTTCCAGCTGCCTCTAGGTGAACTGGAACCAGAGTTTTCCAGTTAGAAGTACATTAACCATAAACTAGTTCTTTTTATTCCTTTATTTCTAGTTTCAGAGGTTTGGAGGCTGGAGGTAAGCCTCTTCTTCATGTAGCCCTGTGAAAAGAAGCAGCTTGGACGAAAATATCTTTGCAATTAAGTTCTTTTTATGCCTTTTTATGTGTATAAGACTGTAGTTTTGTTTGTGCCCTGAGGATGAGTCACTTTTTCAAATGTAGTTTGAAACTAGAAGCCGCTTGATAGTAAAGTGATCCCAAGCTCAGCTCCTTATCAGAATCTCTTGGGAAGTTCCTTAAATTTCAGGCCACCCAGACCAAGTCTCAGGACGTCTTGATGGAGATGTGGACACTGACCCCAAGAATGGCCATGCTTTGGAAGGGGCTTGTGAGGGAATTCTGATAGCTGTGCTTGGAACCGCTGGTTAGGAGCGTTTGGGCCCCAGCTGTGTGCTGTGACCATGTGGGTGGTCAAAGAATGCCTGTCTGTACACACGGGAGCCTCCAGGCTGCACTTTTATGAGGAGGATCAGCTTCTCATTTCCTGCAGCCCTTCTGCTGCCAAGGTAGCGGAGGAGCAGGGAGTGTGAAGGTAAAGTCCTACATGGATGGAATGTGCGAGGCCTGTGTGTAAAGCCAGACCTCCCGCTTCAGGCTGGGGCTTGGCGTTCAGTAACCTGTGACCCTGGACACAGTCCTTTGTTCTCCGTTCTCAGGCTCAGTAAAGTGACATGGCAAGTCCTGAGGGGAGTGACATGCACCTGCTGGCTGGACAGTCGGCAACTTGTCAAACCTTGTAGGGAGAGTATTTCATAATGGCAGCTGTATTTCCATGGAAAGGGGTCTTTCAAGCAAAATATTATTAAAAGGATGCTGTTAAGTGTTGTCGAGTCGAGGATAACTCATAGTGACCTTATGAACGAAAGACCTAAGCACTGTTCATAGAGTTTCCTGAGACAAACCATTTTGGAAGTGGATGCCACTCCTGCTTCCAAGCTTGTTTTAATCGGGAAGCTCCACCAAACACTGTCCACCATGGGTAACTATTATCGTATTTGGTACATCAGTGTCACAGTATTTAGCATCACAGCAACCATGAGTTCCCTCTGTACAGCAATGCACAGACCAGTGCTACACCACCTAGAAGAATATTAAAAGGATAAATAAAAATGAAATGTCTATTAAGAAAACAAGCTCTAGAAAACCTGTTGCCATCTAGCTGATTCTGCTGCATGGTGTCACCATGGGCTTCAGAGGAGAAGTATTAACTGTGGGGATCATCACAACCGACTTTTATAAAATTTGGTTTTGTACAATCATTCATATACATACGTAGTGCTTCATTCATGTACATTGTGTTTTAAACAATCATTCATATACCTTGTGTTTGATATAATGTATTGCTATTTGAAAGCAGGAGTGGCATCCACTTCCTAAACAACATGCCTCTGGGAATTCTATGAACTTTGATAAATGATTATGATTATAGAAAGGCTTCAGGTCTTTTGTCAATAGGGTCACTATGAGTCATGCTCGACTTGATGACAATCAACAGCAACAATTGATCAGTGCTTTTTTAATGCGTACACATCATGCTTTATAATATTCATATACCTTGTATTTTAGTACTATTATCCTCTCCCCTTTCTTTTGTCCCTTTCTGCTCGCCCTCCCCTTCTGAACAGTTATAAATCTCCTGTTCCTGTTTGCTAATTGCAGTAGCCATATTGTCCTCTCGTCAGTTCTTCCCAGGTTGAGCCTCCCTTGTCCAGATCCCTCACAATGCTTGTTAACTGCACATCCTGTCTCTGCTCTCCCAGTCCCCTCAACTTCCTCATTAGCCCCCCTATTTTCACAGTCATGGCTGTAGATAATATTTTTCCTTGTTCAGCATAATGTTCTCCAGCCTCACCCACATTGTATCGTATCTTACAAATTGGTTGTTCCTCAATGCTGCAGAGTCTGCCATTGTGTGAATGTACCACAGTTTCTCTCTCCATTCATTTGCTGATGGGCATTTTCTGCTGCTTCCACTTCCTTGGTCTTGTGAATAATGCTGTGATAAACACAGGTGTACATGTCTCCGTTTGTGCTTTGGCTCTGATTTCCTTGGGGTATATTCCTAGGAATGGAATTGCTGCATCATATGGAATTTCTCTGTTCACTTTTTGGAGGAAACACTAGACTGCCTTCCACGTGGTCGTACCTAAGGGACACCTGGTGACCTAGTGGTAAAAGCTGCACTACAATATCACAGTTAGTTACCCCTCCATAGGCTTTGCGATGACTGATTATTATTTTTTTTTAGAAGTATACCATCAAGCCTTTCTTCTTTGGTACTTCTAAGTGAACTTGAACCTCCCACATTTTGACTAGTAGCTAAGTGTGTTGACTGTTTATGCCACATAAGTACTCATGATATATCTGTATATCATAATCTATATGGAGGAAGACGTTCATAGGATTACTTTTTCCTGAGCATCTACTAGGTGTTGGACACAGGCATACAATAGCACATAAAACCACAGTAGTTCAAAAGTATTAAAAGTGTAGGTAAGGGATGAACTGAGCGACCAACAGTGCACCGAGATGGTAAGAAGTGTAACACAATGGAGCAGAAAGCATTGCCTGTTCACCAGGTAGCTGTTTGCTTGTCTTTACAGATTGGCGAAATCCACGCTGGTCCTCATTCCTTTACTGGGTGTTCACGAGATCCTCTTCTCCTTCATCACTGACGATCAGGTTGAAGGGTTTGCAAGGCTCATTCGACTCTTCGTCCAGTTGGCCCTGAGCTCCTTCCACGTAAGTGTCTGACTCACGATGTCCTGGCATTGGAGCAAGCATAGTGTGTGTGGTCCAGGCTGTCTTGGACCTAAGAGAGCCCATGGATGTGAACCCAGCTCTAGCACCAGCAGGAATCCTCGCTGAGAGCTGGTGGCATTGAGGGGAGGTGTGGCTAGAAGTGCTGCCTAGATCTTCCCAGCATGGCTCAGTGACTCAGAAGGGAGAACATTTCAGTGTCCTGGGCTTTAAGAGTCGTGTGACTCATGTTAACTGTGAGTGTCAAGATGAAGCCCTTTATTAAGTGTCTATTTTTGCTGGATTCTCTTCGGAGTATGTGCCATTGTCTACAGGGCAGGAGACATTACTCAGAACATGGTACAACTGTGGAAGGGTCGGTGAGTCCACCCAGGGTCCTTAACAGGTGTGGGGGGGGTGCTGAGACTAGAAAGGGGGGATATCAACTCTGGTTATCTGGATAATTTTGACTGTCTTTTGCTGTGGGGCCTCGGTGGCACAGTGCATTGCATGTTGGGCTAACAGCCCAACAAATGAAAAGGTGGCAGTTCAAATCCGTCTGGTGCTCTGCTGAAGAAAGATGGACAGTCTCCTCTCATCAACATTTACAGCACTGGAAACCTGATAGAGGAGCCCTATGAGTTTCAACAACAAGCTTCTGTTGTTGTTGTTGTTGTTAGGTGCCATTAAAGTGAGTATGGCGCATGGCAACCTTATGAACACTGATCTGAACCCTGTCCTATCCCGTGCCATCCTCACAATCTCTGACTTGAGCCCATTGCTGCAGTCACTCTGTCAATCTATTTGGTTGAGGGTCTTCCTCTTCTATGCTGTCCCTCCACCTTCCCAAGTATGATGTCCTCTCCAAGGAGTAGCCTCTCCTAGGAACACGCCCAGAGTATGCGAGACAAAGCTTCACCATCCTTGCCTCCAGGAAGCACTCTGGTTGCACCTTCTCCAAGATATATCTGTTTGTTCTCTTGACACCACAGCTCAAAGGCATCAGTTCTTCTTCTGTCATCCTTATTCACTGCCCAGCTCTCAGATGTGTAGCAAGTGACTGGAAAGACCACGGCTTGTATCAGGCACACCTTAGTCCTCAACTTTGTAAAGGTTCCTGATACTGCAGTATGTCTCCTGATCTCCTAGTCGACTGCTAGTACCCAGTGTGTTGATTGTGGATCCAGGTAAGATAAAGTAGCAGACAGTTTCAGTCTTTTCTCCATCTATCATGATGTTGCCTATAGATCCAGTGGCAAGGATTTCTTTTTGTTTTCTGGATGCTGATATACAAACCATCTTGAAGGTTCCAGGATTTGATCTTCTGCAGCAAGTGTTTCAAGTCCTCCTCATTTTCAGCAAGCGAACTACTGACAAGCTGCAAACAAACTACTACAATACAGGACATTACAATACATTATTATTTCTCAGGATTCCTCATGTTGGTGCTGTTGATACCGTCTACCACTGAGTTGACATTGACCCTTAACTTCCCTCCAGTAGGTTTGCCGACACAGTAAATTGCATGGGAGGAGACTGTCCATTCTTCTCCCATGGCACATCCAGTGGATTTGAACAGTATACATTTGTGTTGTCAGTACAATTCCTTACCACTAAGCCATCAGAGCTCTCTGGGTGCCTGTAATTGAAATACCACAAGTGGGTGGCTTTCAAGGACAGACATTTACTCATGTAAGTAGTAAAGGTGAAATTTAAGAAATTACCATTGCTGTCAAATGGATACTGATTCATAGCAATGCTATAGGAGAGATTAGAATGGCTTCATAGTGTTTCCCAGGCTGGGAATTCTTCTGGGAGCAGTCTGACTCTTCTTTCTCCCTTAGGTGGCTGGTGAATTTCAACCGGCAACCTTTCAGTGAGCAGCTCAGCACTTTAACTATAGTCACTTTATCACTAGGCCTCCTGTGCTATAGTGTCTTTCTGGTGCCTTGTGAAGATTGGAACCGGAAGACACACAGTGTCCTCTATCAGAGTCCTAAAGTCTGTGCCACGGATAAATGAGCACTGAGATAGACGTAGAACAGAAAGACGGTGCGTGCCCTACTCCACGCTCCAAAGGCCAAAGTCAGCAGCACGACTCTCCATGAACTGCATCCCCAGAGCTCCCTACAGAAGACTTCTACAGCAGCAATCTACCTCCTTGTTGAACAAAGTCTTTGCTTAGCTACAAGTTTGCAGAAACTAGCAGGAGCACAGTGAAAAACTCTCAACAAGTGAAAATTTAATCTGAGAGTCAGAATGAGGGATTCCAATAGTATATACCTTTCTAGGCTGTAAAGTTATTTACAACTTCCAGGGGCCTCGTGGTAAGGAGCTGTGCTGTCAACCCAAAGGTACCTGGTTCAAATCTACCAGCTTCCCCATGGGAGAAAGATGGGCTGTCTCCTCCTGCGTGATTTACTGCCTCTGAACACCAGCTGGAGGGTCAGCTATGGGTCAGTTCTGGCTCAACAGTACATACATACACCACCAACAACAACTTCATTTAACATTAATTAATAGAACATTTTCTGTTCTATTTCCTAACCTCCCTCTGACTGTGGTGTCTTTCCCAGGCTCAGCTGTGTAAATAAGCACTAATTCTCTCTCTAGGTTAGAAATACCCACTCCTGCCTTCTTTATTATTCAAGTAGTAACACATCGAAGAAAAGACCAATGGTTTCTTTAGAAAATCAGAAATTCAAATCTTGATTGAATTAAAAATGGTCTGAAGTCACCAAATTCAGCTATGTCAGCACCTCGGGTTTTTCCTAACTCATATGCACAGAGGTTGTAGTCTGGAAGCTCCATCATAGTTGAGGTTCACTTTTCCAGGAAACTATAGATTTCCACGAGAACAAGGGAACATCAGGTTAAAGAAAGTATCCGGGAACAGACTGATGAGTGATAGACATGGCAGTGCCGTGTACCTTCTCTAGTTCTGCTTGAATCTTCTGAATTTCAAACACATGGACCTCAAGGTTGGTGCTATGTAAATAGTAGTGTAAACAGACCATCTCAGATACGCTGAATCCATATATATGCAAAGCTAATTTCATGTAATGGACTTGGATAAAGGTGGTGAATCTATGATCAGCATATACCAAGCAAATAATAAAAACTAAGGTGGGCCTGATCCAAGTCATGGTATTTTCAGTTGCCTGGTCCACATCTCAAAGTTGGACAATGAAGAAGAATGACCATGGAAGAATTGATGCTTTAACTGTGGTGTTGGTTAAGAAGTACTAAGTATCTCATAGACTATTAAAAGAACAAACAAGTCTGTCTTGGACAAAGTGCAACCAGAGTGTCCCTTAATGGTAAGGATGGTGAGACTTCCTTTCACATACTTGCACACATTGTCAAGAGGGGCCAGTCCTTGGAAAAAGACATAATGTTGGGAAAGACAGAGGATTGGAGAAAAAGAGGAAGAACTGCGACAAAATGGACTGACACAGTGATGATACCAATCGACTTGAGAATGTCAGGGACCCTGAGGATGGCACAGGACAGGGCAAGGTTCGGATCTGTGTTCACAGGGTCACTGGGAGTTGACACGACCACATGTAACACCACCCCCGTCAAACAGATTCGCGGAAGAGCAGGTTTTTCTGGGACATGTCTTCCCATGGAAGGAGCCTCCTTCCCTTGGAGAAAGACTTGGAAGAGTAGAGGGTCAGCAAAAATGAAGACCTTCAATGAGATGAACACCTCAATGATTCCACAATGGTGTAAAGCACAGCAAGAGATTGTGAGGATGGCAGAATCAGGAGGAGTTCAGCTTTGTTGTACACAGGATTGCTAGGAGTTAGAGACAGCTTGGCAGCGCTTACCATCAAGCTGAGCAAAGCTCCAGCAGTTCCAGTTCTGCTGAGATACTGTTTGACATGAGAGGCTGAGCTTCTCTAGCGGAAAAGACAGAGCAGAGACCTGAGAATAAGTTAGTACCATGTGGAGAAACAGAGAGATCAGAGATGAAGGGATGGAGAACTTCTAAGCAAATGGGCCACTTTTTTTTTATAATTGACAAAATTTTAATGAAAATACTTTTTTTGAGTGTCAAAAGAGAATTTTTTAAAATTTTTTAAAAATTACTTTCAATGAACATCTACAGATTTTGGACTTCCATTCATTCATTGTTGCACTTTTCTCCCCGACCCCCCTCCCCCGAGTTCGTTCCTCTCCTTGAAAAACAAAAGAAAAACTCCTTCATTGGTACACAATACCCCCCCCGCACACCCCCAACCCCACCCCACCCCAAATATACTCCACTCTGCAACCTTCATTCTGGACTCTTATGATAATCATAATGCCCTAAAATATATTACTTTTAAATTATTCTCTTCCTCATCGGATTCAATGCAGTAAACATAATTTATCCAGTTTTTCTCAGTCTTACCCCCACCCTGATGTCAGCCTTATTCTACAACTTTTATAGCCTGGAATAGTCTTCCTTTAGTGCACTGGAGGTCAGCATGCACCCAGGCTCTCCTCAAAACACTGTCCCCACAGGATAGTAGTAGGCATTGCAAGAAGGAAGAGTTCTGTGTTTTGGTGGTGTTTTTTTTTTTTCATCTGAAAAACAATTTTATTTCACCTTCATAATTTTAATATATTCACTGCACACAATACTCTGTGTTTTAATGTCTTGAGAAACTATGCTTGAAGCAAAGTGAGGTATACTTCTTTATTTAGAAGGACTTCTTGGAGTTGTGAATTGATCATTGTTGATTGTGACTCTCTAAGACGGCATAGAAGATTCCTAAACTTAGTTGATATGGAACCCTTTTTAGAAACTTCTCTCCTAGAACCTCGTTTCTAAGCCAGCTTTCTGAATCACACCTACAGCTTTCATATGGCTTCCGCTGGAGGAGGAAGCAGTTCTCCTATGGCTGGATCAAGTCGTGGAGGTGAAAGCAGATGGTTGGGAGGTGAGAGCAGGAGTGGACAGATGTGTGGGTGAGCATTTGGTGGATCCTGTCTCTGTGGCTCCATCCAGGGAATCGGCAGGAATCAGCATGGCCCTTGAGAGCTTCTTTTCTTTGCTGCTTTGGAGCGTCCTTCCCTTTCTGAGGGCACACAGAGTTTTCCCAGCCTCCTACAATTACGGGGCCTTTGGAGTGTCTGCCAAGCAGTGACGTGGATAATGCGAGGACCATATGGTCTGTGGACCCAACTTCCTTCACACTTGCTTATCGTGAATAAGAATGAACCAGATTCTAGTAAGTTCCTCAAACAGTGAAGGGAGAAACTGAGGAAGTGAAAAAGACACGTCTATGACATGAAATCCTATTTAAGACAACCCGTTGGTGAGGGTTTTGGCACACTGAAAGCCAGCCACCCATGCTTGCAGATAAATGTTACCTGTCTCACAGCCACACAGGAACCTTCAGTGAGAACGTGTGTGTGAAGATCATTAAACGGAAGCATTATGTAGATGTCTAGGTGCATCAGGTAAGAGGGATTCCACACCAGTGGGCAGAATCCTAGTGTCTAAGTGGTGCTGTGAGAGTTGGCGTGGTGCCCAGGAGGAGCAGTTCTTGGAGGGGAGAGGTTAAGTCCACCCAGAAGCACTTTGGAAGAAAGGCCTGGTGATCCATTTCTGAAAAAAAAAATGAGCCACTGAAACTCTGTGGAGTCCAGCTCAGCTCTGACACACAGGGTCACCATGAGCCGCGACAGCTGTGTCATAATCAATTCTAGTCCGGAGTACCCAGCTCCAGGGTGGACAGATTGAACAAGGTGAACATAAAATCCCCACCCCTAGCCCAGGTCAACAATCCTTTTTCGTCTTAGCTCCTTGCCCCACCAAGCCTTCCTTATCAGGGACTTGAGTGAGAGAAATACTGCAAAAGAGATTAGAGATGGCAGCTTCACCCTCTAGTTTGAAGTGTCTTCCTTGCTTATGATCTCTTGGCTTTTTATGTGATTATTCTCACAAACATCTAAGCATTTGAGTCTTGCACACACATCCGGCTTCAGTATATGTGTCGCACAACCCATGTTCACAGACCCCCACATCGATTAGGGAAAGGCATGAAGGTCATCACAGGCGAGGGCTAATAAAGCAGAATGATCAGGTGTCTGGTTTACATCAGGGAAGAAATGCTAAGAAGTGTTGATTCCAGACTTCAAGCAATTAACAGAGAATCCAGGGAAATTTTCAGCTCCAAGAGATTATCCTCTTCATGCAATTTCCCTAACAAAAACACTCCATAAATGAACATGTCATATAAAGGCGGGCTTGATGTTTCAGTCATGATCCCTGGGTCCATGATTCTTAACATTGGAAGCACAGTGGCACTCGAATTGAGCTGTGGTGGCTTAGAAATGATCTGACTGTGTACACATGGTGGGAAACAGTTCCCTTCCTTTGCTGATACTGGTTCACCCGTGCTGGTGACCAGGCAGTGGGTGACTAGATGAATGTGCTGGTCTTGCTGGGACTTGGAGAGAGGGAAAGACAGCAATCAAATAAACAAATCAATGATAATACAATTCTGGTGGCATGAAGAATATGAAACAGAGCATTGTGATAGCTATTGGAGTGGTTACCAAGAACTGGGAGATCATGGTGGACCTCTCTTATGAATGATGTTGGAGTTAAAGCCTAGATCATCCAGAACCTTTCACATGTGTTGTTGTTATGTGCTGTTGCATCAGTCACGACTCATAGCACCCCCATGAACAATAGCTATGAACCCTGCCCTATCTTGAGACAATCTCACCGTCTCTGACATACTTGTCCCGATTACCAGTCTCTGTGTCTACTCGTCTCATCCAGGGTCTTCTTTTCCTGTGGAGACCTTCTATTTTTCTAAGCATGAGGTCCTTCTCCAAGGACTGGTCCCTCCTGGCAACATGCCCAAAGTATATCTGGTTTTGCCCTTTCCAGGACAGACTTGTTAGTTCTCTTGTCAGTCCATGGTATGTTCAATACTCTTCTCGAGCACCACAACTCAAAGGCATTGATGCTTCTGTCATCCTTAGTCATTGCCCAGCTCTCAGATGCATAGCAAGTGATTGTGAAGACCATAGCTTGGATCAGGTACACCGTAGTCTTTAGATTGACACTGTTGCTCTTTCTTCAGCACTCTGAGGAGGTCTCTGACAGCAGACTTTCCCAAGGCAATTAATCTTTTCATTTCCTGACTGCTGATGCCAAGAGTGTTGATTGTGGACCTGAGCAAGATGAAATTGTTGAACCTCTAAATCTCTTCGTCATCTGTCATGATGCTGTCAATTGGCCCAGGTGGTGGGAGTCTTCTTTTTCTTAACATTGACACATACAATCCATAGTAAAGATTGCAGTCCTTGACCTTCTGCAGCAAATGCTAGGAAATGTATTTTTTTCTATAGAATACCACTGGAGTAAAGTGATCTGAATTTGCTTTTAAAAAAAACTTTCTGAGTTAAGGCAAAGATATTTATTGCATCAAATAAATGAAAATTTCAGCATCAGACATTAATCAGACCCAGGTACTGAAACAGAATCACCAGAAACCGGTAGGAACCATCTCTGCCTGCCTCTGCTTTTCTCTGTGTTGGTTTCCTCCCCAGACAGTCTTTCTCTGTATAGCTGGGGAAATGCTATCAGTATTTCCACATTTATGCCATTGAAAACCAGAGAAAAGGTTACAAACAACCCTCTTTTCTTTGACAGTGAAAAGAACCCCTCATTAACCTTGTGGAGTCACATGCCTCATAGTCACATGCCTATTTAACAGATTACTATGGTGAGGGTCTTCCTGTAACATGGGTACCACATGATTGACAGCTCAACCAGAAGCCCAGAGAATAGGGAGAGCCCATTTCTGCAAGGAAAAGCCAACTAGGATAAGTGAAAGTAGGACACTGATTGCACAGAGTCCCTATGCAGTATTTGTGCAATTGAATGATGCAGGTTCCTAGGAGTTTAATCACCCTACTACAGACATTACTATGAGCACAAGGGAACTCTGGTGGCCTAGGTGTTAGAAGCTGTCCTGCAATCCCCAAGGCGCACAGTTCAAATCCATCAGCTGCTCTATGGAAGGATGGATACTCTCCTCCCATACAATTACCTCTGAAAATCTGCCAGATGGTCAGCTGTGGGTCAATTCCAATTCAGCAGTACACAACAACAACAACTATGAACACATGTGTGGTTCGAATCCAGCAGCTGCTCTGTGGGAGAAGGATGAGCAATCTCCTCTTGTGTAATTAAACTGCCTATGAAAATCCACTGGAGGGTCAGCTGTGGGTTGATTCTAATTCAATGGTACACAATAACAACAACTATGAACACTTCTCAATCTCACATACTTTGAGCTTGTTGCCAGGAAGGGACAAGTCCTTGGAGAAGAACACCTGCATGCAAGGATGAAAGGTCAGCACAAGAGAGGAAGAGGATGAAATGGATTGGCAGAGTGACTGTGGCAATGCGGCCAGGTGTGTTGGAAACATGGACGTTGGCTCAGGACAGGGAAGGGCTCAGAGCTATTGTTCACAGGGTCTCTATGAGTCATAGTCGACTCAACAGCACATAATAAAAACAGCAATAGCTGTGATCACCCATGAGTACCTACGAGCCCCTGAATCAATGGGTAGATTGATAGTGGGTGATGGATGTCAGAACAAGAGGAAGAGACCCATGCGGATTCAGGTCAGTGCAACCAGCATGATGAGCCCACGCTGGCAGAAGCACTGGAATTGCATGCCTTTACTGGGGCTCTTTGTTCTAGGATAGGCCTTTAGACTCTCCTAGTAGCTTTCCCCAAAGCGAGCTCTGTTTGCTGTAGTCTGTAGTGAATTGAGATGCTGACTCAGAGGCTGTACTTTTCTAGAATTTCGAATCCACCAACCGCTCCAAGAAAGATGAGCAACCTCTTCCAGTGTAATATATTAGCCCTGGAAACCCACCGGAGGGTCAGCAGTGAGTTGGAACCGACTCAGTGGCAGTGAGTCTTGGTCGTTTTTGTAACTCCCAGAGACGTCCTCTACTGAGTCCAATTTTACATCACTTCTTCCTCTCGTTCCAGGGACTCCTTGTGGCCTTCCTGTACTGCTTTGCCAATGGAGAGGTATGTCTTCTACACTATTCCAGCTGTATTGCAGACTGGCACTGGGGTCCTAATAACCTGGAGGTGTCTGTCTGATGGTGTGCTGGGGCACATGCCATGACCAGCATGTACCGGGGCAGGATTGTGTGGTGATCCTGCAGGGCAGGAGTCTGAGGCACATGGAGCAGGGGGCGGGGAGGTGGTGATGGAGCAGAAATGGGAGGGGCTGTGAAGAAACTCAGATCTCAGGTCTGGTCCCAGTGGAGACATACTGGGAATACTCAATATCTGATCCTCATTGTTACTGATCATTCAGGCTTAGGCATGTAATAATATTTGCAATGGCATCTGAATCTCTTTGCACCTCTGTGTTCCCTTTTCCTAGTATTTTGTGCTGATCATGCCTTAATGTATATTGCTTTTCCCTTTCTAAGCACTGATTTTTCCTCTTCTCTTTCTCCCCTCCCCTTCTTGGTAGCTACCAAAGAACGATTCTCCCAGTGTATAAACTTTTCCTGATCTTCTTATAATCATAATACAATGTTTCCCAGATTAATCTACTTTCTACAGGGTTTCACAAATTCTTCATTTTCCTTTATGCTGTATAGTATTCTGTTGTGTGCATGTACCATCATTTTTATCCATTCATGTGATGATGGACACAGTTTCATTTCCCAGCTCTAATTTCTTTAGCTTATGTGCCTTCTAGTGAGCTTACTGGATCAAGTGTATTTTTGTTCCCAGATCTTTAAGGAAGTGCCAGCTGGTTCTCTGTAGTGTTTGCACCATTCCGCATTCCCACCAGCAGTACAAGAAAATTCAGTCTCTCCACATCCTTTCTTTGTTTTGTCTTCTTAAACTTTGCTCTTTTTGCTGGTCCAAAGTATTCTACGTACTTTGACCATGTTGTCAGGAGGCCCTAGTCTTTGGAAAAAGATACTGTGTTGGGAAAGATGAAGGTCAGAAAAGGAGAGGAGGATCCTCAATAAGCTGGAGTGACGTTATGGCTTCAACAGTGGGCTCGAGCATGCTAGAATTGTGAGGATGGCACAGGACAAGATTCAGATCTGTTGTTCATGAGTTGTTGTCCACACAATGACGTTTAACAATAACAGAACCGTGTTGTTACTTGAGTGAGATGGTATCTCATTGTTGCTTTGATTTGCATTTTTCTGGTGAGGAGAAATACAAATCCAAAGTTTGAATCTACCAGCTGCTTTGTGAGAGGAAGATGGGAAATCTCTTTTCCTGTGTAATTGCTTCTGAAAACCCACTGGAGGGTCAGCTTTGAGTCAATTCCAACTTGGTACAAAACACTAACAATAGTAACTGATGATCTTGGGAATTTCTTCATGTGTTTGCTGGCCATATGAATTTATCTTCTTTGGTGAAATATCTTTTTTTTTGGTGTCCGCTGTGCATTTATATTTTATTGTTGAAATACTGGAGTTTTCTGTCCATTTTAAAGATGAGTCCCTTGTTGAATATGTCATTTCCAAATATTTTTCCCAATCTGTACATCTTGTATTACGGTTTTAGAGAAGTCTTTTGATGCAATAAGGATTTAATTTTTTTCAATAAGGATTTCATTTTTAGAAGATTGTATAGTTTGACTTCTATTGTTTTGTGCATTTTTGGTTATTTTTCATACTATGTTTATGCCATATATTAGGACCCCAGAGTTAGCCCTCATTTTTCTTGATTATCTTTATAGTTTAGTTTTTCAAATTTAGATCGTTTATCCATCTCAAATTAGTCTGTTAGTATGGTATGAAGTGTAGATCTTGTTTTCTTTTTTTTAATAAGTGGATATCCAGTTTGGTCAGCACTGTTTGGTTAAAGGGACTGATTTTGCACTGCTTAATGGATTTCATTTCATTATCAAATACAATCTATCTGTGGGCGAATGGATTTACTTCTGGGTTCAGTTCTATTCCACTGGTCTGTGGAGCTGTCATTGTACCAATACTGCCATGATCATTGCTTGAATTAGGGCAAGGCTCATGAGATTTTTTTTAAAAAAAAACAACAACAACGAATATTTTGTTTTAGGTGGAAGTTTGCACAGCACATTTATTTCTCATTCAACAATTCATATACTAACTGTTTTGTAGCATAGCTTGCTACCTTCCCAGTATACCAGCACTCTCTCCATTTTCCACCTTCCTTCTGATTTCCCTATCCTTCTCTTTGCTTTGGGGTAAATGCTACTTGTTTGGTCTCTCATAGTTAATTGTCCTAAGGAGCACATCCTTAGGCTCAGTGCTATTGTTTATTTCATAGGCCTATTTCTTATTGGACTGAAAGAGAACCCCAGGGAGTGATTTTGGTTCCAGGTGTCTTCAAGCACCAGTCTTGCGAGCTCCTTTAGTATATATCAATGAGTAAGTCATATTATATATCTAGATCTAGATCTATCTATATCTATCTATCTATCTATCTATCTATCTATCTATCTATCTATCATCTATCCTCTATCATCTCTATTTCTATCTCTCTATAATCTACATCTATATATGCAGGAGAAGGATGGACAATTTCCTCCTATGCGATAAACTGCTTCTGCAAACCCACTGGAGGGTTAGCAGTGTGTCACCTCTGACTAGATGTACACAACAAAAGCACATACCCCGCCCCCTTCCCGACTTTGAGTTTTGTTCTATATTTTGCTCCAATTCTTACCAGGCTCTTCTACTGTGACCCTAATCAGAGTGGTTGGTGGTGGTAGCTGGGCATCATGTAATACTTCTGATCTTGGTCAGTAGGAGGCTGTGGTTTGTATGGGCAGTTATGGCCTGTGGACTATTGCTTAGTTGAGTACTTAGTTTCCTTCACTTTCCTTGCTCTAAATGGAAAGAGGCAAATAGATAGCTATTCACAAGGTTTTATGACTCCAGACACAGCTCACCAAACTAGGGTGTAGAATTTTGTCTTTATGAGCTCAGTCTTGTGAAGTGCTTGGATAGATCTAAAAATTTCTATATTTGTGCCCTCTGTTATATTCTTGTGTGTGTATACACACAGCCTATACAAGTGTATATATGTGTGAGTGTGTGTTTTGTTGTTGTTTTTATGTGCCATTGAGTTGAGTACAACTCATGGTAATTCTATGAACCAGAAGATCAGAACCATGTCCTATCCTGTGCCATCCTCATCATTTCTAGTATACTTGAGCCCATTGCTGCAGTCACTGTGTCAATCTGTCTTGTTGAGGGTCTTTCTCATTGATCTTCCACCTTTCTCAGCATGATGTCCTTTTCCAAGGAATACCCCTTTCTAGCAGCATGCTTTCAGTATGTGAGATGAAGCTTCACCATCCTTGACTCTAATGAACACTGTGGCTGCACTTTCTCTACGACATACCTTTTTGTTATTTTAACAGTCCATGGGTATTCTGTACTCTTCTCTAACACCACAACTCAAAGGCATTGATTTTTCTTATGTCATCTTTATTCATTGTCAAGCTCTTAGATGTAAGTGATTGAAAAGACCATGGCTTGAATCAATGTGCCTTAGTCTTCAAACTGATATAATTGCTCCTCAGTACTTTGGAGAGGTCCTTGACAGCAGACCTTACCAGTGCAGTACATCTTTTGATTTCTTGACTGCTAATACCAAAGGGGTGGATCCAAGGGAGAGGAAGTCACTGACAATTTCAGTCTTTTCTCTGTCTATCATGATGTTGCCTATCAGCTTAGTGGTGAGGCTTTTTGTCTTCTTAAAGTTGAGATGTAATCCACATTGGAAGCTGTAGTCTTTGATCTTTTGCACCAAGCATTTCGAGTGATTCTCACTCTCAGCAAGAAATGTTGTGTCATCTGCATAATGCAAGTTGTTGATAAGTTTTCCCCCATCCTGATTTCATATTTTTCCCCATAGAGTCCAGCTTCTCTAGATATATGTTCAGCATGCAGATTGAGTTAAAATTTTATGACAGGAAATTTGGAGGACAGCTGCTCTGCCAATTGACTGGAAGAGAGTCATATTTGTTCCCATTCCCAAGGAAAGTGATCCAACAGAATGTGAAAATGATAAAACATATAATTAATATCACATGCAAGAAAAATACTGCTGAAGATCATTTAAAAATGGCTAAAACAGTACATAGAGAAATTCCAGAAGTTCAAGCTTGGTTTAGAAGAGACTATGACACCAGGGATATCAGTGCTGCTGTCATATGGATCCTGGCTGAAAGCTAAGAATGCCAGAAGAATGTCTATTTGTGCTTTATTCACTATGCAAAGGTATTTGACTGCGTGAATCATAACAAGTTATCGCTAACTTTGAAAATAGAATCGCAGACCATTTAATAGTACTCATGCAAAATCTATGCTTAGATCAACAAACTGTTGTCCAAATGGAGCAAGGGAACACTGCATGGTTTAAAATCAGGAAGAGTGTGTGTTAGGGTTGTATTCTTTCTCGATGCCTCTTCAACATGTATGCTGAGCAAATTATTCAAGAAGTTGGGCTCAGTGAAGTGTGGCATCAGAATCAGAGGAAGACTCATTAACAAGCTACATTATACAGATGTTAGCTACATTATGCAGATGACACAACTTTACTTGCTCAAAGCCAGGAAGACTTGAAGCATTTGCTGGAGAAGATCAAAGAATACACCATTCAATGTAGATTGTATCTCAACATCAAGAAAACAAAAATTCTCACCACTGGTCCAATAGGCAACATAATAATAGATGAAGAAAATATTGAAACTGTCAATGACTTCATCTTACTTGGATCCACATTCAAAACCCTTGGTACCAATTGTCAGGAAATAAGGAGATGTATTGCACTGGGAAAGTCTGCAGTCAGCGATCTCTCCAAATTATTGAGGAGCAACCATGTCAGTTTGAGGACTAAGGTGCACCTAATTCAGGACATGGTCTTTTCAATCACTTGCTATGCATCTGAGAGCTGGACAATGATTAAGGATGACAGAAGAAAAGTTGAGGCCTTTGAGCTGTGATGTTGAAGAAGAGTGCTAAATATCCCATGGACTTCCAAAAGAAGAAACAGAT